TGCATCGGCGATGCCGCGCGATTCTCCGACTTCATCTAAGGTCGGGATTTTTCCTGGAAAGGGCTCCGACCCAGGGTTCTCTTTTGGTAGGTTTACCCACAGTTTTAACTTGAAGGAGGCCAGCGGATTTCCGCTCGATAAAATACTAGGTAAAGTCCAATTTGGCGTGAACAAAATGCGTTTCGCGCGTGCCCGCTCGAGGAAAGTGAGCCCCCCAACTTGGATCCTCAATTTATAACGGGGTCCGCGGACCACCGTTTCCTTCGGTAAAAAATGCGGGGCATTTTCAACAGAATCCTCGAACAAAAAAAACGATGTCTGGAGCCCCGACCGCGACACGGAAAAGCGTCCCGCGCGCAGGAAGTCCGAGGATGTCTCGCGCGTGCCGCGTCCCGCGCGCAGGAATTTCGAGGATGTCTCGACTAATTCGCTAGTTTTTCCAGGATTCCCTCGGCCACACAGGGGGGTATCAAACATGTTCTGCTAGAGCGTGAACATGTTGACATTTTCCCGGAAAGGGCGCGGGCCCAGGGTTCTCTTTTAGTAAGTTAACCCCCGGGCCCCCCTGCGACTTGGGCCGGCGAAATTATTTTGCGAGCGGGCACGCACGGAGTAGGGCCGGCGAAATTATTTTTGAGGATGTCTCGAGCGAAACGCTTGTTTTTCAGAATTTGTTGAGGATGTCTCGAGCGAGACGCTGGTTTTGCAGAGTTGGGGATGTCTCGAGCGAAACGCTTGGTTTCAGAATTTGTTGAGGATGTCTCGAGCGACACGCTGGTTTTGCAGAGCCGACCGCGACACGGAAAAAGCGCCCCTCGCGCAGGAATTCCAAGGATATCTCGCGCGTGCCGCGTCCCGCGCGCGGGTATTTGGATTTCTTGGGATTTTGACAGGATGTCTCGAGCGAAACGCTTGTTTTTCATAATTTGTTGAGGATGTCTCGAGCGAAACGCTGGTTTTGCAAAATTGGAGGATGTCTCGAGCGGTGGCCTCGTGGGGGGCCAGAATTCAAAGGATGTCTCAGGCGAAATGCTTGTTTTCACGTCCCGCTCGCAGGAATTCCGAGGATGTCTCGCGCGTGCAGCGTCCCGCGCGTAGGAATTCAGATGATTTTGACAGGATGTCTCGAGCGAAACGCTTGTCCCCAGCACGTTCCGTAGCGCGTCCCCTTGGCAGGTCCCGCGATGCGTCCCCATGGCACGTCCCTTGGCACGTCGCTTGGCGCGTCCCTTGAGACGTTCTGCGTCGCGTCCTCCTGGCATGTTCCCCTGTCCATTAGCTCTGGGGCAGCTACTATGTGTTCAGGCAGCTCGAGCTTAAGATCCAGATCAGTTCGGTCAGGACTCGGATGCAAAGGAGGACTCGATCCACGAGGCTATAGAGCACAATCGCGCCATGGCACATCGCAATTCAGCACGGCGCAGCACAGCACTGATTTCGGCACGGTACATCAAGGTCGATGCACTCAGCATTGCAACTTGGCACGTTCCTTGGCACGTTCCGTGGGGCGTCCTTTGGCGAGTCCCCCTGGCACGTCGCGTCGCGCGTCCCCTGGCACATCCCGTGGCACATCCATTGGCACGTTCCGTAGCGCGTCCCCTTGGCACGTCCCGCGGTGCGACCCCATGGCACGTCCCCTGGCACGTCGCCTGGCGCATCCCTTGGGACGTTTCGCGGCGCGTCCTCCTGGCATGTTCCCCTGTCCATTAGCTCTGGGGCAGCTACTATGTGTTCAGGCAGCTCGAGCTTAAGATCCAGATCAGTTCGGTCAGGACTCGGATGCAAAGGAGGACTCGATCCACGAGGCTATAGAGCACAGTCGCGCCATGGCACATCGCAATTCAGCACGGCGCAGCACAGCACAGCCCTCGGCAGGGTACATCAAGATCGATACCTTCAGTATTGCGTTTGCCCGTCACCCAATCAGGTGTCTTTGAAAACGCTGCCATGTGTTACAGTTCTACATTCCTTTCCGGGTTCGTGGGTCGATCATGTTGCGTGCCCGCTCGAGGATGGTGCGCCCCCCGCGCCAAAAAATCGAGGACGTCTCGAGCGAAACGCTTGCTATTTTGCAAAACTTCAGAGACCTGGGCGTCCCAGCATGCCCTAGGAGGCCGTGGGAGCGCGGACGCGGCGTAATATACGAGGGATCGTGGCGTTTGGAGCGCGGAACACGCGTAATTTGCGAAGGATCGTGGCCCTCGGAGCGCGGGCGCAGCATAATTTACAAGGGGTCGGGGCCTTGGGAGCTTGGACGCAATGTAATTTACAATGGATCGTAGCCCTTGGAGCGCGGACGCAGCGTAAAATACAAAGGATCGGGGCCCTGGGGGCTCGGACGCAGCGTGATTTACGATGGATCTTGGCCCTGGGAGCGCGGACGCAGCGTAATTTACAAGGGGACGGGGCCCTGGGAGCGCGACCCCAATGTAATCTACGAGGGATCGTGGCCCTGGGAGCGCGGACGCAGCGTAACTTACAAGGGATAGTGGGCCTGGGAGCGCGTCCCGTGGCACGTCCATTGGCACGTTCCGTAGCGCGTCCCCTTGGCACGTCCCGCGGTGCGTCTTCGTGGCACGTCCCTTGGCACGTCGCCTGGCGCGTCCCTTGGGACGTTCCGCGGCGCGTCCTCCTGGCATGTTCCCCTGTCAATTAGCTCTGGGGCAGCTACTATGTGCTGAGGCAGCTCGAGCTTAAGATCCAGATCAGTTCGGTCAGGACTCGGATGCAAATGAGGACTCGATACACAACGCTATAGAGCACAATCGCGGCATGGCACATCGCAATTCAGCACGGCGCTGCACAGCACAGCCCTCGGCACGGTGCATCAAGATCGAAACACTCAGCATTGCGTTTGCCCGTCGCCCAATCAAGTGTCTTTGAAACGTTGCCATGCCTTACATGTCTATATTCCTTTCTGAGTTCGTGGGTCGATCACGTTTGCTTAGCGTGTCGCGGCAGCGGCCCCTGCGACGCGCCGTTCCTGGCGAACGGATAGCGTGTGGCTCCGTACCGCGGGGGCTGGAGGACCAGCAAGGCTTAGGACGTGGACGTTGAGTGGCCGGGAAGTGGACAGCGTGTCGCGCCGACGCGTGGTGGGCCAGCACTGGAGGAGCGATACGCTGAGCCCAAACTCTGATCCTTCTGTGGAAACTCATGGGAGCCTCCCATGTCATCTTGCTGGCTCGCGCGAATCGACGCTAATCGGTGCCGATCGACGCCGCGCGACGCTCAATCTACGCCAAATCAGCGCTCTCTGATCGACCACCCAACGCTAGCGCACGCAGACGCACCCCAGAGAGGGAAACACGAGGACTCACGAGGCCCCCATGCTTTGCTACAACACCCACCTACTCCGACCCCATCTGGGAGGCCTGGCTCCTGCACCGCCCGCCGCACGACCTCGCGGAGCCGCCCTGCTACGGCCTCGGCCATGGCCTCGGCCGCACCCTCGACCGCGCCCTCGGCCGGCGCGGGCCCGTCGCGCTCTCGGGCCCGCCCCTGGCGCTCCTCGGTCGGATACACGCCAGAGTGACCCTGGCAAGAGTGACCACCGGTGCGCGGATGTGAGGGGGCGGGCGTGAAGGGGCCAAAACCAAGCGCGCCAACCGCTGCCGTCGCACCTCGTTCAGCGATCGGGGAGTACCCGCGGGCACGCACCGAAGGTCACTCCGGCGAAGGACCCCTCTTACGCATGGCCGATCCTCGGGCCCGCCCCGGGCCTCCCCCGGCCCGCCAGGCTCCTCCCTGACTCTCGGGCTCACGGGCCCGCCGCCCCTCGGGCACTCCTCGGGCGACGACGACGACGACGACGACGACGACGACGACGACGACGACGACGACGACGACGACGACGACGACGACTCGCTGGACCGGGCCCCTTCTCCCAGATCGTCCGTTACCGAACATTTCCCGTAACGCTCTGGACGAACCGGCGGCAACTGAAATTCGGCCTCGGGTCGAGAACTCGAGCCGTCGACGACTTCGAGACCCTCGCTTGGACCCCAGAGCGCCGTCTCTGCGTTGCCGAGATTCGAACACCCCCTGGTCGCGACCGAACTCTGGCGCGAGCGAGCACCGTGACTGAGAATTCCGGGTCGCAGATGAGCTGGGCCGGGCCCGCCCCGGGCCCTCCTCCTCGCCAGGCCAGCCGCCCGCCTCGCACGGAGCCCCGAGCCCCTCACTGCAGCACCGCGATGTGCTCTCGAGGGCCTCCGAGGAGCGCCGCCGCGGCCAGCTCGAGCACCGCCGCGGCGAGGCTCCTCGGAGGCCCAGAGCTCGTGGGGCTGGAGGCACTCTGGCGCCCGTGCCTCGTCCTCTCGGGCTGGCGCGGCCTCCTCTGCGACGGGGGCGCAGATGGGAGGCGAGAGGTCAGGGGCCTTACGCGAGAGGACGTAGCGACCTTACGCCGCGGCTTACGCGGGCCGCCAGGGCGGCACGCCACATCGGAAACGACACGGCGCTCACGCGCGACCTTGCGCGGGCAGCTTGCGCGCCAACGTCGGCGCAGACGACCCTGTTTCCCGGAAAGGGCAGAGGCCCAGGGTTCTCTCTTAGTGTTGCTCCCCCCCGGCACCGACTTGAGGTGGGCCGGCGGAATTACTCTGCGATAAATGAGGAAGTCGAAGAAGGCCGGCGGAATTGAAAATCGAGGATGTCCCTAGCGAAACGCTTGTTTTTGCAATCCCGATCGATAAATCAAAAGGTGCGGGACGCATTTGGGTCGAAGAATTGCATCCCGTGCGAGCTGGAACCACGTGTTTTCACGCGTCCGGGCCACCCAGGAAGGTATCTAACGTTGTGGTCCCAGCTGGAACCATTTGCTTTTACTGGTCCGGGCCACATAGGGGGGGGTAAAACATGGTGGTCCCGAGCTGGAACCACGTGTTTTCGGCCACACAGGGGGGTATCTAACATGGTGTTCCCGAGCTGGTACCACGTAGTTTCACGTGTCCAGGCCACCCACGTGGGTATCTAACATGGTGGTCCCGAGCTGGTACCATGTGTTTTCACGTGTCCACACCACCCAGGGGGGTATCTAAAATTGTGGTCCTGCGTTGGAACCACGTGCCACGTATTTTCACGTGTCCAGGCCACCCAAGGAGGTGTCTAACACGGCGGTCCTCGCTGGAAAAACGTGTTTTTATGTGTCCAGGCCAACAAGGGGGTATCTAACATGGGCATCCTGTCGCTTCCTGTGGCCCTGAGGCCCGGAACGGAAAAACGTTTTTTACGTATGTTCCTATACATAGCCCTCTCCAGGAGGCCCCACGAGGGCCCAGGTCACCCAGGAGGGTATCTAACATGGTTGTCCTTAGCTGGGGTCATGTGTTTTTACGTGTCTGGACCACCCACGGGGGGATCTAACATGGTGGCCCCGAGCTGGAACAACGTGTTTTCACGTGTCCAGGCAACTCAGGGGTGTATCTAGCATGGTGTCCCGAGCTGGCACCATGTGTTGTTACGTCTCCAGGCCACCCAGGGGGGTATCTAACATGGTTGTTCCGACCAAGAACCACGTGTTTTAACGTGTCCAAGGGTATATCTATGTTTGGGTGCTCAGAGCTGGCACCGCGTGTTTTTACGTGTCCAGGCCACCCAGGGAGGTATCGAACAATGGTTTCCCCGAGCAAGGACCACGTGATGTAACGTGTCCAGGTCACTCAAGGTTGTAGATATATTTGGGTGCCCAAAGCTGGCACCCACCCATGGGGGGTATCGAACATGGTTGCCCCGAGCAAGGACCACGTGTTTTCACGTGTCCAAGCCACCCAGAGGGTATCTAACATGGTAGCCCAAAGCTGGATCCACGTGTTTTTATGTGTCCAGTCCACCCAGTGGGGTATCGAACCTGATTGTGCCGAACTGGAACCATGCTTTTTTACGTGTCCAGGCTGCCCAGGGGGTATCTAACATGGCGTCGGGCCCCATGCCGAATTATCAGAAAACGCACGGGGGGGCAAAAATCGCTACCCAAACACATATCCAAATACAGACAGGTTATGTTTTCTTGCTCTGGACAGCGGGTGGCGCTTTGGGGGTCTCTCCAGGAAAGACATTGCGACGATGTCTCGAGCGGGAACGCGAATTCAGCGTATCCAGGCCACGCAGAGGGGGGTATCTAACGTGGTGGTCCCGAGCTGGAACCATGTGTTTTCACGCGTCCAGGCCACCCATGGGGGGTATCTAACATGGTGGTCCAGAGCTGGAACCACGTGTTTTCACGGGCCCAGGCCACATAAGGAATATTTTTAATTCCCCAATCAGTGCTTGCTCTGAAGGGGTCCTCGCGGAGGTTGAAGGATTTGGCGAAAATTTCCCGCCGATTTTGGTCGCACGCTGGGTTCCCAAGTTCCCGGTTCCGGGTTCCCAGGTTCCCGGTTCCGGGTTCTGGGCCGATTTCGGAGGGCGGCAAGGTTCCCAGGTTCCTGGGTTCCTGGTCGATCTTCTTATCGATCGGTCTCACCATCGATCTCATTACCCACTTCTCTATCGATCTCACCATCGATCTCACAATCGATCTCATTGAATCGATTTCACTCTCGGTCTCACGATCGACCTTACAATCGTCCTCACTATCGATTCCACCATCGATCTCATGATCGATCTCACAATCGATCTCAAGATCCAGAATATTAATTTTCGAATCATCCACTGATTGGGGTTTTCTCAGGTGTAATTGCGTTTTCGAGCTGGGACCACATGTATTCACGTGTCCAAGCCACCCAGGTGGGTATCTAACATGGTGGTCCCGAGCTGGAACCACGTGTTTTCACTTGTCCACGCCCCAGGGCGGGAGAAGCGTGACAACACATGGTTCCTAACGCCCCAGGGCGGGAGAAACGTGAAGACACATGAGTTCCAAACGCCCCATGGCGGGAGAAGCGTGAACACACATGGGTTCCTAACGCCCCATGGCGGGACAAACGTGAAAGCACACTGGATCCTAACGCCCCAGGGCAGGAGAAAGGCAAAAACATATGGGTTCACGCCCCAGGAGGCCCCAATAGGCCCCAGCACAGCCCTCGGCACGGTACGTCAAGATCGATACACTCAGCATTGCAACCTGGCACGTTCCATGGCACGTTCCGTGGCGCGTCCCGTGGCGAGTCCTCCTGGCACGTCGCGCGGCGCCTCCCTGGCACGTCCCGTGGCACGTCCCTTAGCACGTTGCGCAGCGCGTCCCTTTGGCACGTCCCGCGGTGCGTCCCCGTGGCACGTCCCCTGGCACGTCGCCTGGCGCGTCCCTTGGGACGTTGCGCGGCGCGTCCTCCTAGCATGTCCCCCTGTCAATCAGCTCGGGGGCAGCTACTATGTGCTCAGGCAACTCGAGCTTAAGATCCAGATCAGTCCGGTCAGGGCTCGGATGCGTAGGAGGACGTCGCAATTCAGCACGGCGCTGCACAGCACAGCCCTCGGCACGTTACATCACAATCGATACATTCAGCATTACATTTGCCCGTCGCCCAATCAAGTGTCTTTGAAACGTTGCCATGCCTTACATTTCTATATTCCTTTCCAGGTTCGTGGGTCGATCATGTTTTCTGCGTTGCTCGGATGGGACGCGAGCAATTATCACACGCAACACCCCGCAATTGCGGACAAGAGTGAAGGGGCTGGCGCGGGGTGGGTCGCGGGTGGGTCGCGGGCGAAAGCGACGACGACGCAACATCGACACAACAAGTAGAATCCGCCGAAGGGAACGCCACTTCTGCCACGCACCCAGGGACAACGAATGACTCTTCGGCCCCCTCACTCTGATTATATCCAAGTCCACCTCCTTCCCCTTCCGTCACCCCCTCTTCCTCCTCGGATTGTGCTCCTCCCTCCTGAAAGGAAGGAAGGGCAGAGGAATGAGGGGGATCGGAACCGTCGTCCTCCTCCGAACGTTGTCCAGGACCGACAGCGGCCGCTGTCGGGCTGGGCGGCGTTCGCCCCCGGATCGGCGGCGTCCGCGGCGGGACCAGCACCAAACCCTGCCCAAGAGCGGAGTGGAGAGGAGCCGTTGGCATGAAGGAAACGGCAGGCAACCACTCATGATCTTGACCCCTGCAAATCAAATTCCACGGCCAGGGCTGTCAAACGAGTTCTTTCTTTCCTCTTCCAAAACCCCCTTCCCTCAGGGGAGGGGAACCCTCCCCCTCCCCTCCCTGAAATTTGTTGGGGATGTGCGCGATCTGTCAGGGAATCTTTTTTCCGGAAAAGGGCCTGAGCCCAAGCTTCTTTTCTACTGGGCTAATTCCCCCCAGCCATGACTTGAGATGGGCCAGCGGGACTATTTGCGATTAGTAGCACAGTGACATTTGATTATGTAGAGATGCGTTTCGCGCGTGCGCTCGAGGAAAATGCGTACCCTATCTCAGATCCTCGATCAATGACGGGCTCCGCAGATACGACACCCGTCTTCTCTCGCAGCAAAAAAAAGGTGTGGAGGGTTTTGTTGCGCAGAATCCGCGTCAAAACTACGGAATAATAGCATTTTGCATGCCCGTTCGAGGATGGCGCATCCCGCGCGCAGGAATTTCGAGGCTGTCTCGAGGCCCGCGCTTGTTTTGCAAAGGAAGGTTGGCTTTTTTGCGTGCCCGCCGGAGGATAACGCATCCTGCATGCCGAATTTCGGAGGATGTCTCGGGCGAAACGCTTGTTTTGCAGCGATCCTGGCCCTGGGAGCGCGGACGCTGTGCAATTGACGAGGGGTCCTGGCCCTGGAAGCGGGAAGGAACCCAGCGTACTTTACTAGGGATCGTGGCCCTGGGAGCGCGGACTCTGCGTAATGTACGATGGATCGTGGCCCTGGGGGCGCGGACGCAGCGTAGTTTACGACAAATCGTGGCCCAGGGAGAGCGGACGCAGCGTAATTTACTGGGGAACGTGGCCCTGGGAGCGCGGACGCAGCGTAATGTTGTAATGGGTCGTGGCCGTGGGAGCGCGGACGCGGTTTAATTTACGAGGGATCATGGCCCTGGCGGGGCGGACGCAATCCAATGTATTCGGAATTGCCTCTGGGGGCGCGGACACTGCGTAGTTCACGAAGGAGCGCGGCCCTGGGAGCGCGGACGCAGCGCAGTAATGTACGAGGGCTCCTGGCCCTGGGACCTCGATTAATAACGGGGCGCGAAAATCCTAGGCTCCAGAAGAACCGCGGCGCGTCCCTTGGCGCGTCCCGTGCCACGTCCCGTGGCACGTTCACTGACGCGTTCCCTGGCACGTCCCTTGGCGTGTCGCCTGGCACGTTCCCTGGCGTGCCCCTTGGCGCGTCCCGTGGCGCGTCCACCTGGCCGTTCGCGCGGCGCGTCCTCTGGCACGTCCCGCGGCACGTTCACTGCCACGTTCAGTAGCGCGTCCCCTTGGCACGTCCTTTGGGACGTTCCGCAGCGCGTCCCCCAGGCATGTCCCCTTGGCATCGCCCAATTGCATCTGCAATCGAGGTCCATAGAAACAGTTCCACGCCTCGCAGTTCTCAATCCTTTTTCTGGGTTCGTGGGTCGATCATGTTCCCATCGGCTCTCACAAGGAAGGCTTCTAAATGGACTGGTGGGGGTACTTTTCGGCACGCGCGCGCCCGATGCGAGTCGGACGCCGGGCAAACAGGGGCAGGCCATGCCACCTGCGAAAGAAAAAATCTAGCTGCGAGCAGCGCCGGGGCGAGGCGGAACTCAGCGCTGCCAAAATCCCACGAAGAGGCGGAGCGGCACCAGGAACACGAGGTAGGTGCCGAGCACGAAGCCGAGCAAGCGAACCCAGAATCGACAGTGGATGGGCCCTCGCAGCTCTAGGATGGCCGTGACGCGAGGCCCATCCGTACCCCAGGCAACCTTGTCGAACACGCAGTCCATGTAGGCGAAGGCGAGGCGGACGCTGCGCTTACCCAGGGAGGTGGAGGCGGCGAACCAGAGCGCCAAACTTGCCGTGCAGGTAGGATTTGATGGGAGGACCATGCCGAACATGTAGGACATGGAAGGAGGACCAGGATGCTTGTTCTGGTCTGCGGGCTCGCGAAGCAGGTCGAAAGCCGTCCGAACACTAGCGGGGCCGCGACTAGGCAGCAAGAAAAGAAAGGCAAGCGAAGCGAGCGCGCGGGCAGCAACTCAGAAAAATAACCAAAAACGAAACTCCCAACCCGGTGTCGTGGAAATCCCGGTGGCGACCATCAAGTAGGCGCAGCCAAAATGGCGCGGCGGCGCGAAGGGTGGGGATATATGTTTTTTACGGCCGCAGGCGGAAGCACACAGCGGCGAGCAGTCACGGTCGGGCCGCGGCCGAGGCAAAATTCCCGAGCGCGCGCGGAGCCGCGGCTCAGGCGGCAGGGAGCGGCAACCCAGGGTGTCTGAGGGGCCAGCGTCGTGCAATCCCAGGGAGTCTGAAAGGTCAGTCACCTGAGACAAACGTGCAAGCTGCAACCCAGGGAGTCTGTGAGGTCAGCCCTGAGGCGAGCCAAGCGCAGCCAAAATGGCGCGCAGTACGTCCCGTCGCGTCCGAGTAAGAAAGACCGCGTGGTAGGGACTATCACCGTGCAGGAAGGTCACCCAGGGAGTCTGACGGGTATGATCAGGCAGTACTGGTGACGTCGTCCAGCAGGAGAAAGGTTCTGACGGCGCCAGCGAACCGTCGCAGCATCAGAACGCGCATCCACGCAAAGGGTCTAGGCCAGAGTAGCCAGAGAAGACCCAACCACGGCAGAGCGATGCGCCTGCGTACAGAGAACCAGCAAACTGGTCAAACGCAGAAGGGTACACGATAAACACAGCGAGAACGCAGGGCTCAAGAGTGACGTGCACCGAACAACTATGTGACGTAGCGCCAGGCGACTAACTCAACCATGTGTGAGCGCTCGGGAGGACAGCAACCGTCGTATACCCAAGACGGCAAATCCATCACAGTCACAAAGTCCCAGGGAAGGCCGCACACCTGAATGTGCGGGAGAGCAACGAGAGAGAGCCGAACCTTCATACTCCGAAACCGTGCAACACGAGATAGTGACGCGTGGCACTGGTGAGCGGAGCTGATCGGGTGAAGCCGTCGGCCCAGTCAGAGAGGCAGCGGGCCAGGTGTGCCTACGCCCTTGGCGTAGCAAACCGCGGCGATGGGCCGCCCATCCAGAAGGGTGGGGATACGCGAAGCGTGACAAATTTCTGAGACGCCGGCTGCGGGTCAGGATTCGAAAGATGTCTGCGGCCAGGTGGACTCCAGCGGAAGTGTCCGATACCCCGGCGCCGACTGGACCCACAGGAGTAGGGTTCGGAAATGGTCGCCAGAACGGGTCCTGGATCTGGGGGCTTCTTCCCACGGGACCAGTCCATCATCCTGAGCCGTTGTGTCGACGGCCCCCAGCGACGAAGGACCGCATCCCAGAAATAATTTCGAACACCCAGAAAACTGTCAAAAGAGTGTCGAAACAGTGTCTCTTAGGGCCCGGCACGTGAAAACCCTTGAGTTTCGGTACGGATCTCTGGGCTCTCGAAATTCTTCCTGGTGATCAAGGCTAAAGTAGGTTGGAGCATCATAACCCCAGAGGCCGAAGACGGCGAAAAGCCTCAGGGCCCGCTTCCCCCAGGACCCACTGTGCCTTGGCGGCGAGGCTGCTGTCTTCGGCCTTCCTCCCCGCTCGTCCCGCCCCCGCTCCTGTTATAAGGCCTCCCAGATGGGGTCGGGTGATCGCGCCGCGTCGCCGATGCATCCGCGACGTCGGCGTGGGGCGAACCGAGCTCCACATCGAGCCGCATCGCCGATGCATCGGCAATGCGGCCCCGCTCCCTCCGACCCCATCTGGGGAGGCCTGGACCCGGGTCCTCCGCCGGCGGTGGCGGCCCGGGCGGCGGCCTCGGCTCGTCACCTCGGGCAGGCGGCAACGCCACCTCCTCCAGCGGCGGCAGCGCCACCGGCAGCGGCTTCTTCTTCTCGGGGGGGGGCGCCCCGCCTCCCCGGGCCGGCGCGGGGTCCCCGGGCAGCGCCGCCGGCAGCGCCGCCTCCTCGGGCGGCCCGGGCAGCTCCTGTCGGGGGCCGGGCAGGGCGCCTTCGGCAGAGAACCCTCTGGGGGGAGAACGGCCCTTTGGGACCAGACCCCGTGGGCGCGAGCGCCTGCAAGAGTGGCGGGCCCGCGCCGCCCACGATCCAGAAGCCGAAGGGTGGCCCCGCGGGCGGATTCGCCGATCGACTTGGCAGAGTAGGGGGTGGGCTGGGCTGTGTCAGATGCTCGTTCTGGGGACCTTCCTGGAGCCTCTCGCTCCACTCATGTGTCGATGCTGCGTCGAACGTCTGTCGACTGGAGTCGAACTTGAGTCGAGCTAGAGTCGAACATGAGCCGAACTGAGTCGAGCAAATCAGCTCGCGATGGGCCCCAGGAAGATCCCCAATATGAGCATCCAACATGTCAACCCCCGGTCCTCTAGAGAGCTCTCCCTCAACACGGTCGGGTCGCCCATGCCGCCGCACCCCCGGCTCGCGCCAGGTCCGTGGCACCAGGATCCGCCCTCGCCCCCTTTGAGCCGCCGAGGTTCTTGGAAACCATACAGTCATCGTGCTATCATCATAAGGGACGCCAGATAAAGAACGAAAGGGGATTTCTGGCTACGATGAGCCTCGGCCACAAATTGGTTCCCCGACCTAGATCTGAGGAACGGCCCGAACATCATAGCCTCTCCTCAGCCCAAAGTGTTCCTTATGTCAGCGTCTTGGCTGTATCTCCCCATCCTCTCTACAGGTGTTTGTTTTCGCCAACCTCTCTCGCACGCTGCTTCTTACACACAGCATTGTCCCGAGGTGGCTTTCGATATGACTCTTCCCCGTCACAAGATTCTCGGCCTTTGAAAGATGGCGTTCTCGCTGCAACGGTGGCCATATTTCAGGATCGCCGCTTTGCTTCCGTCGTTCAGAACGGCGCTCTCCCCCAGCGCGGGCCACGTTTCTGGATCCGATTCCTTCCTCGTCGTTGCCGCCCAGCTCCTTTCGCCTCCCCGTCCTCCTCCTCCACCTTCTCCTCCTTCCTCTGGTCAACTGCTGCTATTCATCTCCTACTCCTCCTGCTCCTTCTCCTCCTTCCTCATCGTTATCCTGTTCCTCCTGCTCATTCTCATGCCCATCCACAACCACCACCTCATCCTCTTCCCCCTCCTCCAATGTACAGAGCTCCCCTTTCGAATTGCGCATCACACGATGAGGCCACTTGGGGGATCAAGGTCCGCTAGGACACCCATGGGCGGATAGAGTGCAGTCATCGCAATGGGAAGACATGCGGGAAAGGTGAAATGTCAGATACGGCGCGCGCGCGTACCTAGCTTGCATCGCTGCAACGTGTCGCCTCCAGCCGCGAGTTGGCGCGTCGCCGGTCCGCCAGGCTGCAGGCGGCCCGCGACGAGGAGGCCATGCGGCGCGCCCCGTGGATGGGCACGTTTTCCTTCGCCGATGCTTTCCAGCCTGCTGCTGCTTCTCATTGCCTCCTAGGGGGTTGCAGGCTGCAGCCGCGCGAACACGGACGGCACCATCTGCGTCCCAGCACCGCCTCCTCCTCCTCCTACGCCGTCCTCCTCCTCCTCCTCCTCCTTTTCCTCCTTTTCCTCCTCCTCCTCCTCCTCCTCCTCTTCATCCTCCTCCTCTTCCTCCTCCTCCTCCTCCTGCTCCTCCTCCTCCTCTTCCTCGAAGAAAAGGAGGAGGAGGAGCAGGAGGAGGAGGAGAAGGAAGAGGAGGATCCTCCCTCCTCATCCCGTCTTGTCCCGCCTGCAGCGCACACGCTGACGCTGATGACTCGCGTATATGTTCCCAAGACCGTCTCGCAATGCAATGATATATGAATCTGCGTAGCGGGTAAACAGGGGGCACATCGAACCACAAAAGGTATGACGGCACGAGGGGTCAGAGCAGCAGCGGCACTAGCAGGAACCAGGAAGTGCAAATACATATAGTGACTATTGTACTCCCGAGGTTCTCTGTGGTCCTGCTCATAAGATATTGTTAGCCAACCTAGCCTGCGCGCAAGGCGTAAAACATGGTCGCGCAGCGACAAATATGGGAAATATGCAATATCGATACGCAGAGCATCGCCTCAAGTCGCGAAGCGACTGATATAATATGAAACAAATCAGAAAACTCAGCATTTTGGGCAGAACCAAGCGGATGGAAGTGGAACGCGACTCCCAACACGAACGGATCAATCACTTGCGCTGGTGGAGACCGTCTCCACCACTCAACTCTTCACACGAAATCGAACCCACCAACGATAGCAGCGAGTCGGCCAGAAACTGAATGGGCGTCTCGCTCAGCTTGGCGTCTTCCTTGGTCATCCCGTCGGCAATCATGTGAGTTGTGGGAATCCACCGGACATTATTGACTGAAACCTCGTCTCGAATTGAAATCACATCAATCACTGTCCTTTGCTCGGCCAAGCTTGGGGTGAGCTGACGCAGAGCGTCGCGCAACGACTTGCAATCCGTCGCGGTGATCACTTCGCAGATCGGAGCATGGCGGCCAGCCAGTTTACCAGTGAACATCTCGGACAGAAGCTAAGATAAATAGGACGCGTAGTCAAATCCCAAATATTGAGCGATGGCTTCTCTCACAAGTGTAGATCGGACCACTCTCGGTGTCCTCGTGGGCTTCTGGAACAACAATGCGCGTGATGTTGCTTCTGATCTGCCAGAAAAACAAAGGCACCGATCTGCGTCTTTAGTCCTGGAGCGCGAGCCCAAGCCCTGTCGGCGAAACTCACAAAGCAAGCATTATCCAAGGCAGTGCTGACTACCTAAAGTCCTGTAGTTGGGGTGCGGTCTGCATACTCCACATGCCCCATTGCTTGGCGAAGGCCGTTGAGTTCGGGATCGGCTCTGTGAACCAATGGCACTGATGCTGATAAATATGGTCGTGTATGTCCTGAAAGCCATTGTAGGGACCCCCCCGGCTAGTTCAAGATCTCACGCCATGACCGAGTAAGCTTCGATGGGGGCCCTCGAGCTCGACATAACTCCCACCTTCGTCACAGTCAACGCCTTGGTGTACTCCGCCTGGTGCAAAAATAACCTTCTTGGGTACTTCCCAGAAACCAGACGCTGTTTACCAAGAAACACAACATCATTGCACTGCCAGCCTCGCCACTTGATCGCATTTTCGATAGGTGGGCGCAAAATCAAACTCGGTGCGGCGCATCGCGTCATCAACATGAATTCCCACTGCGCAAATCAACTCAATCTTCGGAAATAACAACAAGGACACAGCAGGCCCGAGGCTGTGTAGCTCGGCCCCCACTGATCGCAACGTTGAAACCGCGTGCTTGCCCCATGAGCATGGCGCCGTCGATCGACCATGGAGATTCCCAATCACCTCGCACAAGGGGGCGTCGAACGCTCCAGCTGCATGCGCGACCGGGTCCTTCGGCGGGATCATGAAGCATGAAGACGGGCCCCCCCGCGTTCACTCTGAGCTCCTCCTCGCAAGAAAGCACTCCCAGCGTCGCCAGTGCCAGCCCTCCACCCGCGAGACTCGGTCATTTGACAAATGAGCCTCTTGCTGGCGTCGGTCAACACTGGGGCGTCGCGGGGCAGCTTCTGGAGGTCTGGGTCTGAAAAGCCCAGCAGGGCTGGTCGAGCCTTGGCCTCCAGCGGCGAAAATCCCAAGTTCTTGTCGCGATAACGCACGCACGTAGACACGTGAAACATTTCCGTACATGCGGGTCTCGTTGAACACGATCAGCTTCTTCTTGAGAGCGGGCCCGTGCAGGCTTCCAAATGCCCCAATTTGGCACTCCTTGCGCAGCGCCTTCACGCGCTCCATGAACTTCTCTTCCGGGCATTCTGCGATCTCCCGCCAAGGTATCTCGCGATCCTGTTGGCGCTGCTCGCGTCCGGAGAGGTTGTCCACGGTGGCGGCGCCCTCGGTCTGGGCCGTCGCGCAGCCCGCTGTGCGTGTCCAGCTCCCCGTCAAGGAAGCTGTTGAGCTCGCGGTGAGTCATGCTCAAGCAGTCTATGCAATCGCCCACCGTCTCGCACTCGTCCTCGGAGATCTCGTCGAGCAAGTCGCCCTCGAACGTCTCGAGGTTCAAGCAGCGCATGTCGTCGGCCTCCTTCGCCGCGCCCAGGGTTGCGATTATCCGGGGCCCAATGAATGCAGGCTCCTCCACTCCGCCCCAGCCATCGGGGTCGATGAACTCCATCTCGCCCGTCTCATTGAGCACGAAGGCTGCTGGGCTCGAAGGTGCTGAGGGCGTCCGGCCCACCCTGTCGGATCGCGGTCTCTTCTCTGGCGGTGGTGCAACTCTTGTCGAAGGTGCTGAACTGCCTGGCGCTGGCCGAGTAGTTGACGGTTCTCTCGCATGAGGTGCTGATCTCCTCGGCGTTGGCGTCGCAGACCATCCTTGCGGTCTGGCCGTGGAGAGGGCGCTGAGGGCCCGGTGCCCTTGTCGGCAAGCGCATGGTCGGGAGGTGGAGCAGGTGGCGCAGGTTCGGGGGCGCGATCGTCAGATGCGCCCCCGAAGTTCTCATTGGCAGCGCTGTCTCCAGGAGTGACCGCAGTCGGCTCCTCCTGGATGGGCTCGAGCGGCGCTGCCGGCGGTGGCAGCCCTGGTAGCGCGCGCTTACGGATCTTCGGGCTCGGGAGGTCCTTCAGGCGGCGGCTCCGCGTCGATCCCGGAGGCGTCGCCCTTCCCAGCGTCGGCCACATCCTGCTCGGCCTTCTTGAACTACTCGAGGTCATCCTCGCTGGGCGCCCATCCCTCGAACTCGATGGCTGGACGGATGTGCTCTCGAACCACTCGAGCAGCGCGACGTTCGATCCGAAGCCGCGCCGACTCGCCTTCGCCAAAAAATCCTGGAGGCAAAAGATAGCGGGACGGTATCCGGCAATGGGTGTCTTACCTCGTCGCTTCGGTCCATGTTCGCCCCAAGCGGCAACGCGTTGCCCGGCCAGGAAATCGCACTCCTTGTGGTTAACGGGCTGCCGTAATTTGGATGCGCGTAGGGCCTCCAAGTCAGCGATCGCCTTCGGCGCCTCGGCGCGGCGCTGCCCCCCGGAGGCCCGCATCTCGCCCCGCGCGGCGTCGCGCCAATGCTCGGCAGACGCGGCGTCTGCCAGGAGCTCGGCGGGCAGCATCGGCACCCGCCCGAAGGCGGCAGCATAGGGGGCGCGGCCAGCTCGGCGCACAGATTGATTGACGGCGTGGCTCGTTAAAACGATTGCCAGGTCCGAGTGCTCAGGGGCAACAAGCAGAATGATGTTGATGACCTTCTCGAAGACACGACACCAGGCGTAGTTGCTGGACTCGGCCAAGCCCAGCTGCCGGCGCGCGCCGGGCGGCACGCACCGCACATCAACCCCGATGGTGTTGCAATTGTCCAAGAAGACGCCCTCAACGGCTCCGTCCCGATCGACCGCCAATATTTGCGCAATCCCAGCCGGTGCAAGCCCGCACATCTGGAACTTCTCCCACGCGGACTCTGGCTCACGCGAGGCAACCCTGCAAACCACATGTAATCGAATAGGTTTGTCCGCCAAACCCAGCAGCGCATAAATGGTGCCG